TGTTGCCCCAAGGGAATGGGGAACACTGCCTTGCCTGCTGTGGCCATAAATCACCCCTGGATTCGAAAGAAGGGGATGAGGGCACTAGGCACAAAGCCCTTGTGTGGGTCTGGCTCTCCCGGACGCTGTCTCTGATCGCGCACTGGCTGCAGCAGCTCGAAATAAACAATTAGAAAGAAGCAAATGCACATACTTTGAGTGAAGAACGGGAGTAAAGACTGCTAATTAAAGGGATCTCTGGGATGTGGAGCGACAGGCTGGATTCAACAATAAATCAAGAAGAAGATTCATCAAAGGATCGGTATGTCGGAGCGAGACTGAAAAGGGGGGGGGACTTTTCTTTTTTTGTCTTATGTGAGTACCCAATAACCCTCCCCCCGAAGAAAGAATCATTGCAATTACTGATCACAAGCAGGAGGATTGGGAACTGTGTGGAAATTGATTACTAATCAAGGACATGGCTTGTGGAAACATCGGGAAAGGAAAGGGAGTTCTTTGTGACGCAGTCATAAAAAGTGTGTGTTATGGCAGGCCTGCCCGCAGGAGGACCGAGGGGGAGGAGGACTATGGCCGTTACTGTATTGGAATGTGAGATCGGCCTGGCAGGGCCCCCTGAGAAAATTGAGGAGAGCGGCAGGCCTGTGGAAACCAGGACAGGCTGTGGGAAACGTTTTGTACGGAGGTGTTGAAATGATGTCTGTCTATTTTCATATGGCTCTTGGATGAGTGTAAAATCCACACAGGATATAACAACGTTTGTTTTCAACCCGGTTGTGGAAACCATCAGAGATCACAAAGAAAGGAATATATGATAACAACAAGAAGATGAGGAAAACAACAAAGAGAAGATTGATTAGAACTGTGAATACTATTTGGACAGAACTATGTATATTAAAGCAGCAGCAAGAGAGATGTTTGGATCCCTTTCAGAACTCGAAGCATGGGTACCCCCAACAAAAAATTTAAAATTTGGCTGTGTAATTTGGAATTAATGTGATTTGGAATTATTGTGATTTGATTGGCCTGTTAATAAAAATTATTTAAAAAATAAAATAAAAATGATGTACCATTGGTATCTGACAACCAGTAAAATTGCGAAAATGTATAGAAGCAGTTCAAGTGTGTGCTAGAAATGTAAAAGGAAAGAGGGTACTTTTTATCATATGTGGTGGTCATGTGGGGTGGTAAAAGCTTTCTGGGAAATGATATACAACGAGCTGAAAAAAGCCAGAGTTTTTGCTAGGTATTATAGGTGCAGAACTACCAAAAGAAAACAAAAGACTGTTTCTGTATGCAACGACGGCAGCAAGGATGCCTGTAGCCCAGAGATGGAAAGAAGGAGATCAGAGAAGAGTGGCAGACCAAGATGATGGAACATGCTGAAATGGCAAGACTGACGGGAAAGATCAGAAATCAGGAAGACCAAGTATTCTTAAAAGACTGGAATAACTTTCTAACATATTTGAGAGACCACTGTAAACAGCTGAAATCATTGGCAGGAACACATTGACGCTTGTAGAGTAACATGAACTTTGGATACCTTGATTATATAATAGATAGATTACAGTAAAAGATACAGGAATAAAATTTAGAAATGGAACCCACGGAGGGAGGGAAGGAGGTTGAAGGTTCGAAAGAACCTCTTTTTTTATTTTTGGAATGGTCATGTTTGTTGTGTACAATCTTTATGTAAAACCAATAAAAAACTTATATATAAAAAAGATTTTGGTGAGGGTGGCTCCCCTCAGGGTCTGCACTGGGGAGGGTTTTTGAGGGGACGGCCACGCCTCCCTTGCACCCCATCTGGACTACCGCAACGCATTCCACGTGGGGCTGCCTTTGAAAAGGGCTCGGGAACGAAACCTCCCCAGGCACATTTTAGCTAGGTGACGTTGCTGAGGGCCGATCCCTGTCCAGACCCCTCCAGAAGACGTCTTCAGGATCTCGCTCGCAGGCTTCTTCTCTTAGTCGGGCATAGCTTTGACGGCACAGCATGCATTGCCAGCGCCCAGGGCAAGGCCTCCTTGTGGGGGTCGTGAGGAGGCAACAGGTGGACATGGCTCACTGTGCCCCGTGGCTCCTGCGCCTGGCGGAGGTCGCCTGCCAGGGGCCGTGTTGGCCCTCTCAGCTCGGCGGGAGCAGCGGCTGGCGCTCCTTCGAGGGCCTGGGAGAAGGCGGAAGAGGGCAGGCCGAGGGGCCAAGCGCAGCCCTTCCCTGGACATGCAACACATGGGCGGGCACCGGCAGGTGCCAGGCAAGCGGGCAACTCTGCTCTGCTTGCCCCTTGGAACCCCTTGCCCAAGGACACCCGCCAGGAGGGAGGTCCTGGGGAAGTACCAGTATGGGCCAGGAAAAGTCCCGGCTCCGGCTGCCCCGCGGCCTCAGCAAAGGAGCCTGACATGCCTGGGGCCACGGCCCCCTCGCCCCCCACAACACGCCACTGCCTCTGGGACAAAAACACTGCCACACATTTCCTGGGAACCATTTCCAAAGTCTGCACAGAGTTGCAGAACAGAGCCAAAGCCAAGGATCTCCTCCTGGCAAGAGTCGCTTTTCAATGACCGCTCCTGATATTTCCTGCTCTCTAGAATAAAGGCCGGCGCGGCACCATCGGAGGAATTCTCAATGCTGTAAAACGCAAAGCTTGTCTGTAGCTACCTAAAGCAACTTCTTTGTACAGGAGGGACTTTGCCCCCAATTTCATCTCATGAACTGCCCAGAGATCTTTGGGATTAATCTAAGAAAGAAAATAAATGAATTATTATTAAGCAGCCAGATTGCTGACTGGGAGGGGACTTCCGGGGAGGCGCCTCCGACAATGGCTGGATTCCTCTGATCGGGAGGAATCAGCTCCGTGGAAATCTGGGTCTGGCAGCCACGGCGAAGGCGGAGACCCGTTAAAAATCATAGGCGGGAGAAGCCTGTGAGCGTGGGATTCGGCGGGCACCTTTTGCGCCTCCCCCACTCGCGGGGAAACCCTGTTTCGCGGATCCGGAGCGACATGGGGTGAGCGGTGCGGTGCCTCGAATCATCTGCTTCTTCCACGGAGTGAAGCCACATAGCTGTTGTCGGAGAGCGTTGACTTTTTCCTGTGGACAATTTGACTCTAAAGTAACTACCCGTGAGTAGAGCTTAATTGGGAAAATTGGATTTTTAAAACGTTTAATTTGGCATCGAAACGGGGAAGGTTCAATACAGGAAGTCTGCCTTCCCCTTTTGTAAACAGTCTGAAGCAATGGAGGCTGCAAGCTGAAGTCTTGGAAAGCTTTTTGTAAAAGACTAAATTTTCATAAGTAAAGAATACAATCCCCCCCTTGGAGGCAGGAGAAGAGGGCGGGGGGAGTTGTGGACTGAGTTTGCCTGCGGAAGAGACCAAGAGAGGTAAAATACCGCCGCTCGGACCCTGGGAATGGGCTGCTAGTAGGTCCGACGTTTGGTGGGACGTTTATTGACAGTGTTTGGATCGTTCATTGCCAGCTAGCATAAGAGAAGATACATTGTTTCTACTGTCTCCAGCAGTGAAAGTAACTGAAAATTGAAACTAGTTTTGGGTTGTTTGAACTGTGCTTATAAGAGGATATTATTTATCAATACAAATAGAAACTGTTTCCCTCTAGTGGAAGTTCTTGAAACTGGCGGCTATATAAGATCTGGGCTGGGAAATTTCCAGCTGCAAGATAAAAATCGTGAGACTGTTAGTCTGACCTTGAATCTATTGAGTGTTATGGCAGATGGGGAAGACGGAATGTCGCCAGAAGAGGCCTTAGCGGTTGTATTAGTGAAAATAAGTGACTTGCTGGAACAGCTTCATAAGAAAATAGATGTGATAAATATGAAAGTGGATGCTCTAAATATGAAAAATGACTTGATGACAGAAAGTTTAAATAACTTGGGACAAAACATCAATACAGAAAGCACCCAGAAATTGATACAAGAATCTAGCCTGATACGGCAAACTGCGGATGAAGTTAAGGAGGAAACCCTTGCTGTTGAAGTTAAAGCAATTCAACTGGAGAGTCTCTCATCCATACAAGGACAACTTGAGGAATACAAGCTGACACCTGTTATGACTGAACTTAAAGAGAAACAGATGAAATTGAGGATCAGAGCCCTACCTGAGGAAAAGAAAAGCTTGATAGAGTTTCAGGAGGAGATAGGACTAACTTTGGTTGAGAAAGAGAAGTACTTGGGGGTTAGTATGATTGCCAGAAATGTGAATCTATTCAAGGGCAACTGTGAAGGACGTTGGCTTGAAGAGAAGGGGGATTTGGAAATAGGGTCAAATTGGAAGTTGTTATTGCTGGGCCGAGTTGCTGTGGTGGTGGTGGTGGGGACGAGGGTTGCTGTGATGTCGGGGATGTCGCTTTTGTTTCAAACATTGCAAGCTTTGGATGGGAGGGATTGTCTCAGGAGGTGGCAGAGGGACACCTCTAGATTTGGTTGGCAGGGCAGGAAGCCTCGAGTAAATTTTAAGATATTAACGGACGCTAAAGAAGGAGGTGGACTTGCCCTGCCAGACCCCTAAATTTTGTTGTGAACCATCTGCTTTTTGCTGGCTGAGAGAATCGGCAGAATCCGAGACCAGGGAGAAGAGCTGGTGGGAAAAGACTGGAAGTTTAAAGACTACTTATAGAAATATTGCAAAATTAATGAATGTTAGAACAAAGTTGGAATGAAGTTATATGGCTTTAGCAGAAATGTTATAAGGAATTAAGTATAAATAGATTAATAGAGCATTAAAGGGAACAAAATAAGGTTAGAATGTGTTAAGATAATTATAGGATAGGAAACAGAGGAGGATGGAAAGGAATTGCTGAAATAATTAATTGATGTGGAATACAAAAAGGGAGGTGTGAGGAAGTCGTGGAAATAAGCGAACGAAAAGATATGACATGGAAATTGTTTAATGTGTTGTAAATGGTCTTTGTTTTGTTTTATTTGTCTTATGTGTTAGTGTTTCGTAGTGTTTTTGTATTGTGTGTTTTTTGTTTGTTTTGTTTTTTTGTTTTTGCTTTTTTGTTTGTAGTGTTTAAATTCTTGGAAACTCAATAAATATTATTTTTTTTAAAAAAAGAGATTGCTGACTGGGGCTGGTTAGAGAGAGCAGGCGAGCCCTTGTTGCATCAGATGTCAAGGAAATCAACGGCCACCTGACTTTTAGACAACATCTGAATGCAAGCCTGTATAGGAAGGGTCATAGAATCACATAATTGCAGTTGGAAGGGACCCCAAGGAACATCTAGTCCACCCCCTGCAATGCAGGAATCTGAGCGAAAGAATCCAGGACTGATGGCCGTCCAACCTCTGCTTAAAAACCTCCCAGGAAGGGAGACCGTTCCACTCTTGAATAGCTCTTACTTTCAGAAGTTTAAAATGTTCTGATGTTGGATGTTTTGCTGTGTTGGATGTTTTTAATTTGTTGGAAGTCATCCATAGTGGCAGGGGCAGCCCGGTCAGATTGGTGGCAAAGAAATAATAAATAGTAATAATAGTAATAATAATTAGTATTATTAATAGCCCCACCGACCAGCGGTCAGTTTCCAGGCCCAACTCTGATTATGCCTTCTAAAGCCCTACAGAGCAGAGGTCCATGCTGTCTAGACAGCCATATTTGCCCCAAACAAAGCTGCCCAGGTTTTGAGATCTTCTCTCCTGCCACCCTCCTAGGATCGCTTGTTGGGGAAGCAGGACAGGGCTTTCTCGGTGGTGGCTCCTTCTAAGCAACAGCAGTGGATTGGGGGGCTTTTAAATGTTCAGCAGCGCCCCACGACACCAGCACCTGGCTCCTTCCTGCCTTTCCTTGCATGCAGGGCCGTTGACTCGCACTCCCCTCAATCTGCCCCTGCAGGCAACTTTGGAACTCCCTGCCTAGGGAAACCAGCCTAGCTCCCTCCTTGCTTCTCCTTTGCAGCTGTGGACATCCTTGTTCCTAGAGGCCTTGGGGAAAGAGATTTCAAATGGGCCAGTGCAGTTTTTACTGCTTGTATTTTTTCCCTGCTGCTCTAATTCCATCAAAGCTTCAATTACTCCTTATCAGTTATATTTTGTGTGTTTCTGGATTTTATCTGCACTGTTTTAACTGGCATCAGCCGCCTTGATTCCCAATTTGGGGTGGGTGAGGTGGGATACTATTAATGATTATTATAATCATCATCATCATCATCATCTAATAATAACCCAGCTGCAGATCAGACTTCTCCCATAGCGCCTCCTCCTGGGGGAGACACAGCCATACTGACAGGCGCTGAAGTTAAAAAGAAAAAAACACTGAGAGGCAGTGATTGTGCAATGGTTAGAGCACCAGACTGGGACCTGGGAGAGACTAGGGTTCAAATTACAGTAAATAATCTATGGCCTTTTAAAGCTTGGGGAAGGGGCTGTTATTGCCTGATTATTTGATTACTATGCTGTCTGCTATTGGACTTTTTATTACATTTTTATTATTGGTGCTCTGCAATGTGCGTTTAATGTTGGAGAGTGCCCCGGGATCTTTTGATAAAGGGCAGTCCATAAACTGAATAAATGAAAATAAATAAAACAGATCCCTTTCACTTGGCCAGGAAGCTTGCTGGGTGACCTTGGGGGACACTCGCTGCCTCTTAGCCTAGCCCACCTTGCAGGGTCACTGCGGGGATTGGAATCGCAGAATTGCCAAGTCAGAAGGGACTCCCAGGGGTCATCTAGCCCAACCCCCTGCAAGCTCCTTGGAGAGAGAGAAAAGGTGCAAGAAAATGAACGGGCAAGGAAGCGCCTGGCGAGAACCAGGTTTGGGGAGTCCAGCTTAAGGCCGGGCTGGCGCCTCCATTGCCCCTTCTCAAACCCAACCCCAGCCCCCTCTCCCTTCCTCACTCCCCTCCATACTCACCTCACTGGCAGAAATGTTCTGTTGTGCCTTATGGTTTTATGCAGCTTTTAAAAATCAAGCCCATTCCCCCCCCTCGCCCACCCTGAAAATAAAAAATAAATGACATGTTCAAAAGTTCACGGGGATGTTTGCCACGTTCAGTGTTTGGCATGTTGAGAAGGGCGCTTCATTGGGGAAGGGGGAGCTGCTCTGTGTGCCCCCAGAAACCTCAGTTTCTCCTCTGTGGCCTTGCTGGGCGCCGGTTGGCCAGGCCTCTGGGCTGCAGGAGAGGCCAGAAGGCGCCCCTTGCCTTGACGCTCCCCCTGCGCCTCCACAAGCCCACAAAGGAGACCCGCGACGTCCCTGTGAGGAGGGCCCTGGAGCAGCAGTCATCTCCACCGGGGGTTTCCTTCGAAGCAGGTAGGGCAGGGAAACCCAGCGGCATGGCAGTCCCCTGGCTGCCCCCAACATCTTCGCAGGCCAAAGTCTGGAGGGTGAGCGGGGGGGGGGGCAATAAATGCGGGATGGGGAGGTCACAGAAGATCCTCTTTTCTTCGCCCCCCTCCAGAGTCCAGCAAGGAGATTCGGGACTCAAAATGGGTGAGTCTGGGGGGCAACCTCCTTGGTCCTGCTGGCCCCCCAGTTTGCTGCAGCAGCCCCGCCTTGGTTGCAAAAGCCCTCCCGAGTGGCAGCACCAAGGGACCCCCACCCCGAAAAGTCCTTGTGTTCAAGGGGAACAAGTGGGAGGTGGGGCGGGGAAGCGGAGCGAGTCTCGTCTCCCACTTGTGGGGAGCCAGTGGGTTGGAGGGGCAGCTCCCGTAGCTGCTAAGGTGTCCTGCAGTTCCCAGTGCCTTGTCGAGAGGCAGTGCGGCGCCCATAGTGCTGACAGGACATAGCACAGTTCCCATGGTGCTGTCGAGAGGCCCCCGGTGCCCGCTGCGTTGCCGGGACGTCGTACAGCTCCCCAAGCCCTGCTGAGATGCAGTGCCACGTCCGCAGGGCTGCTAAGATGTAGGACGGCTCCCCCTGCGCTGCTGAGAGGCCCTACAGCGCCCATAGCGCCACGAGGAGGCAGCACAGTTCCATATTGTTGCCAAGATGTTGTACAGCTCCCATAGCCCTGCAGAGAGGCAGTGCAGCGCCCACAGCGCAGCTCAGACGTAGCAGATTGTGCTGTTAAGAGGCTCTACAGCGTCCACAGCACCACTAGGATGCAGCGCAGCTCCCATAGCACTGCCGGGATGTAGCACAGTCCCCATGGTGCTAGGAAGAGGTGGTGCAGTGCCCATAGTGCTGCTGGGATATAGTCCAGCTCCCCAAGCGCCACCGAGACGCAGAGCAGCACCTGGACGCGGCACAGGTCCCATAGCACCGCCAGGACGCCGCCAAGGAGGGGGAGCAGGGAAGGCGGAGCCAAGCGGAGGGGCGGGTGGGGTGGGGCTTGTGGGTGGGCGTGGCCTCCTCACATCAGGCTGCACTTGCCCTTGATTTTGTCTGTCCTCTTCTGCTTGGAGGAGCGCTTGCCGTCGATGTTGAGACTCATGTTGCGCTTCTTCTCCAGGTTGAGCAGCTCCTGGAAGAGCTCCTTGACATTGTAGTTCATCTTGGCAGAGGTCTCCATGAAGGCGCACTTCCACTCCTTGGCGGTGGCCTCTCCCTCCTGCGTGGGCACCTCGCGCTGCGTCTCGTCGCACTTGTTGCCCACCAGCATGATGGGGATGCTCTCCACGCTGCCCTTGATGTGCACGATCTGCTGGTAGATGGGGCGCAGCTCCTCCAGCGACTGGCGCGACGTGATGGAGAAGACCAGCACAAAGGCGTGGCCCTTGGAGATGGAGAGGCGCTGCATGGCCGGGAACTGGTGGCTGCCCGTCGTGTCGGTGATCTGCAGCGTGCACACGCTCTTGTCGCAGCTGATCACCTGCCGGTACGTGTCCTCAATGGTGGGGATGTATGTGTCGCGAAAGGTGCCCTTCACGAAGCGCAGCACCAGAGAGCTCTTGCCCACGCCCCCCGCACCAAACACCACCACCCGGTAGTCGTTACTCTGCTCGGGCATCTTGGCAGCACCTGCGCCAGGAGAGAGGAGGAGGGCAGGCAAGGTCAGCTTCAAGGAGCAGAGGCAGCAGGGCATAGCAGTCAGAGCAGGGGGGTTAGCTAGGCGGGGGGGGGACAAGGGGCGCAGGAGTCTGCCAGGCTTGGAAAAGCAGCCAAAATCATAGGGGGTCTTCCAGTCCGACCACTTGCGATGCAGGAATAGTGATTAAAACAAGGAGGAGGCAGGACCATGCAAACAACCCTTTAGTGGGGATATAAATTGCAATAAATAAAATAATGGGGTAAATAAGGCTCAGGATATGCTCCCCCCGCAACCCCAGCAAAGATTCAAGGCAGGTCAAAGTGAAAGAGCCCCCTCCTCTTCCAAATTCATTGGGCAAATTCACAGCCACCGCCCCCCCATCTAAGTCCAATGCATCACATATCTGCATTTCAAGTGTGTAATCTTCTAATAGGTGCATTTTGGGGTAAGCATTCCCCCGAACAGAATACTGCAATTTCTCACGGGCAGCTGCATGGAGTCAGGGGTTTGGCCAGGACGGATCCTGCCCTACGGAGCAGACCTCTCCTGCTGGCACCATTGCAGGGGGGCGGGGAGAGAAAGAGCCAGCAGCTTGTCTGCCAGAAAAAACCCCAACCTCCCCACAAAAGCCCCACTGACTAATCTCTGGGAGGCGTTTGCAAAAAGAGGGGGGGACTTGCCTCCTTGGCAGCTGCTCCTCTTGAAATGGGGAAGAGGAAAAGGCAGGAAGCAGACACAGAGACTGCATTTCCCATTCATTGTTCGCCCATTGTTTCCCCATTCATTCCTGCCCCCATTTTTTTCTGCCCCCCATCCAAAACTGGGTCGTTCTCTGGGGTTGACAATGGAGGAGAAGGTGGGGAAGAGTGGAGGGTGGTTCATCATTCCGAGGGAGAAAACCCGCAGTGCAGAATTGGGGGGGGGGGCAGATAGAGAGAGGTGGCTTCTGCCCTCTGGAGGCACAAGAAGCCCTGATGGGTGTGGGGGGGGTGTCCCGACCCTGGGAGACACAGTGGGCAGGGGAACTCACCGCCACAGGAGGAGGCAGGGAGTGTCAGAAAAAGTCTCTTCCTGAATCATGGAGTTGGAAGGAACCCTGCGGGTCATCTAGCCCAACCCCCTGCAATGCAGGAATAGGCAGCTGTAGAATGCCACAGGTCCCAGCCTTGGTATGAGGATGTCAGCTGGATTGGGCTATAGAGGCCAAATGCCCCCTGAGAGCCTCGAAGTTGAGATAGACTGCCTCTGGAGCTGGGGGCTCTCCCAAGGGAGCCCGCCTAGCCTCTCGCAGGGACTTGAGGGCGGCAGTACCTCTCTCCCCACTTGCAGCTGCCAGCGACCGGCTTTTGGGGGTAGACTGCCGCTGGGCATGGAGGCTCTGCTGCCACAGCACATCTCCGCAGGGGAGGGTCCGTCACCCGCACCGGGCCAAAGGGACCAGCCCCCTCTTCTCATAGCGGCCCAGCATGGGAAACCCAAAAGCAGGATCCGGGTACGAGAGCCATATCCTGCCTCCGACGGCAGAGGGCAGAGCATAGCAGCTGCCAAAAGCCTTGTCCTCTCTAGTTCCGGTCAAGGAAATGGGTGGATGGTGGAGAAAAGAAGGGGAAATGTAAAGGGGAAATGGATTCTCAAACGTGGGAGGTTCAGTGGGATTGTAAAAAAGCAGCTGGCAGAGACTCTTTAGGAAGGATAGGCTGTTTTGCAAAGGGAGTCAAATGCCAGAAACACATCTCCCTGCCCAGGCACTGGCGGGTTTAGTAATAGTAGTAATAATAATAATAATAATAATAATAATAATAATAATAATGAGGAGGAGGAGGAGGGATGCGGGTGGCACTGTGGGTTAAACCACAGAGCCTAGGACTTGCCGATCAGAAGGTCGGTGGTTCAAATCCCTGTGACGGGATGAGCTCCCGTTGCTCGGTCCCTGCTCCTGCCAACCTAGCAGTTCGAAAGCACGTCAAAGTGCAAGTAGATAAATAGGTACCGCTCCGGCGGGAAGGTAAACGGCGTTTCTGTGCGCTGCTCCGGTTCGCCAGAAGGGGCTTAGTCCTGCTGGCCACATGACCCGGAAGCTGTACGCCGGCTCCCTTGGTCAGTAAAGCGAGATGAGCGCCGCAACCACAGAGTCGGCCACGACTGGACCTAATGGTCAGGGGTCCCTTTACCTTATTCTTCAAGGGGTGGATGTGGGTGGCACTGTGGTCTAAACCACAGAGTCTAGGGCTTGCTGATTGGAAGGTCGGCGGTTCAAATCCCCGTGACGGGTTGAGCTCCCGTTGCTCGGTCCCTGCTCCTGCCAACCAAGCAATTCAAAAGCACATCAAAGTGCAAGTAGATAAATAGGTACCGCTCTGGTGGGAAGGTAAACGGTGTTTCCGTGCGCTGCTCTGGTTCGCCAGAAGTGGCTCAGTCATGCTGGCCACATGACCCAGAAGCTGTACGCCAGCTCCCTCGGCCAATAAAGCGAGATGAGCGCCGCAACCCCAGAGTTGGCCACGACTGGACCTAATGGTCAGGGGTCCCTTTACCATAATAATAATAATAATAATAATAATAATAATGTTGCTGTTATCATGACCATTATTATGCGTATACCACCCGTCATCCACAGATCTCTGGGAGGGTCACAATGGATAGCTCAGTCCGTAGAGCATGAGACTCTTCATCACAGGGTTGTGGGTTCAAGTCCCATGTTGGGCAAATGATTACTGCACTGCAGGGGGTTGAACTAGATGACCCTGGGGATCCCTTCAAACACTACGATTCTATAAAAACCTGGCGCAAGCAGCTCCCAACCAGCACTCCTGTCTCCCACGCCTGCACGGCTATTGTAGGGGCACGGGTGCAAAACCCGTCTAGGCTAACCAGTGCCCTCCACCAGCCTGGATATAGTTCAGTTGATTACAGCATGGTGCTGATAATGCCAAGGTTGCGGGTTTGATCCCCATATGAGGCAGCTGCATATTCCTGCCTTGGACTGGATGACCCTCAACATCATTCTTGCCCTACCCTTCCCACTAGGCCACACTCTCTCCTTTTTCTCCTCTGGTGCTTCAAGCAGAGGCTTGGGTTCGATTCCTGGTGTGAGTGCTCCTCCTCCAAAACAGTTCCCAGGTGGTGTCTCCAGGTGGGGGACGTCTCCTTGAGCCTGAAACCCCGAGAGCTGCTGCTGGCCTGTGTGGGCATCACTGGGCTTCCTGGACCAAGAGCCTGCCTGTGCCAAAGGCAAGCTGTCCTCTCCCGCTCTCAAAATCTGGGCTGCTTTCTCTCCCCATGCCCAGCTGAGCCCTCGGACACCGGATGCCAGCTGTCCTTGGTTGCAGGATCAGGCCTTGGCGGAGGCCAAGCGCAGACTCAGCTTGGCTGCCCCAGGTGGACATCCCATAATAGGATCAGCATACCGTGCTATTTCTGGACAGAGCTGCCGGGCGGCCATATGGCACCCTGGACACACCAGCAAGAGCAATTGAGCAGAGCTGGTCTTTTGCAATCCTGGTGCCTGAGTGGCTTGCCGCTGTTTTGGGGGACCTCTGGGAATTGGGGGCTCAGCTACCCCGCCCCAACCCCCCCTAACTCAAAGCGCCCCCCCCCTTGTCTGTGGCTGAATGCCAGGTTGGCTTGGACTAAGACCCCCTCGTTCCTGATCTGACTGTGGCCCATCTGGCCTGGGCATTGGTCTCACCCCACTGTGCCCACCTGGGTCTTGTGTGCAGCATCTGGCAAGACCTGGGGGTCAGGGAGGGGAATTGGCCATAGCCTAGAGGAATTCTCTCCATGTGTGAGAGTGTCCAGTTTGGGGGAGATCTAGAGGGGGTGTTCCTGGGGCTGGACAGATTTGGGATTGTGCTGCTTTACCGCCCACCAGTCTCCCTGTCTGAGCTGGCAGAGTCTTGGAGGAGGGTGTGGAGGACCCCAAACTTGACCATCCATGCTGAGGCAACCAGCTCTGGGGGGCTCAGGACTCTGTGGCTGCCATGGGGCTGTGACAACATGTCCCGAGCCCAACACATGTGTCAGGCCACACGCTGCTCCTTGCTCTCTTGACTAGACAGGGTGATCTGAAAATGGAGGGTGTTCGTGCCAGTCCCTCGTCATGGCCAGATCACTTCGTGGAATCATAGAATCATAGAACCATAAAGGTGGAAGGGACCCCTGAGGGTCATCCAGCCTTACCCCCTGCAATGCAGGAAACTCAGCTAAAGCCTCCAGGACAGATGGCCATCCAATCTCTGCTTAAAAACCTCCAAGGAAGGAGAGTCCACCACCTCCTTTCCATGGTAGAAAAGCTCCTCCTAAGAGAGAGTTCGTCCCGATGTTGAGTCAGAATCTCCCTTCCTGTAATGTGAAGCTATGGGTTCGAGTCCTACCTTCCAGAGCAGGGGGGGGGAAGCTTGCTCCTGAGATACTTGCAGATGGTTTTCCTGTGAGATTTAGGCTGTCAGCACCTTTCCCCCTCCACAGAGGCAGGGGACCTATTAGGAAGTCCGCCCTCGGAGGCTGATGGATCCAGTGGGATTCCAAACAGCTCGGGGGGGGGGGGCATTTCCGGCTGATATGGCTGGTGCTCCTTTCGAAGCCCTGGCCGACCTCTGGAACACCTGAGTGGCTCAGGCTATTGACACGATCGCCCCTGAGCGCCCTCTCCTACTTTGTGGAGCCCGTTTGGTCCCCTTAGGGCAAGGAAACAAGCTGGGAGACGGCTTGAACGCAAGGGGAGGAAAGATGCGAATGAATACCACCGAACACTGGGAAGGGCTCCTTACTGAGCCTACCTAGTAGCAGTGAAGGCAGCAAAGAAGGCCGACTTTGCTGCTCTCATGGCATCCTCATCATGTCGTCTGGGAGAGCTCTTCCGGGTTGTACGGGGCCTTTTACAGGCTGGCCCAAAGGAGGTGTCAGAGCCAGTGGCAACTCGCGGTGACTTGGTTGCAAAGCATTTTGAGGATAAAATTGCTTGCCTCCACCAAGACCTTGACTGCTGTTATAGCAGATGAATCTCATGGGGGTCCAGAGCACAGTCTAGGCCTGTTGTGTTGCACGAGTTTCAGTTTGTAAGGCCTGAGGAGCTTGGATCAGTCAGGGTGACCACTTGCGCTCTGGCCCCTGGCCCCTCTGGGCTGACAGAAACCAGTAGGGAGGGAACAGCTGGCTGGGCCAGGGAGGTGATCAAGGTCTCTTTAGGAGAGGGGATGGTCCCTGCCTGCTTGAAGGAGGCCGTGGTAAAACCACTTCTTAAGAAACCATCCCTGGATTCAGAAAACCTAACTAACTACCAGTCAGTTGCTCATCTCCCTTTCTTGGGCAAGGTTCTAGAGCAGGTGATCACAGACCAGATCCATGCACTCTTGGAGGAAACTGATTTTCTGGATCCATTTCCATTGGGGCTTAGGCCAGTTTTGGCACAGAAACTGCTTTGGTCACCCTAAAGGTCAAGGACCCCTGACAGTTAAATCCAGTCACAAACGACTCTGGGATTGCGGCGCTCATCTTGCTTTACTGGACGAGGGAGTCGACGTTTGTCCGCAGACAGTTTTTCCGGGTCATGTGACCAGCAGGACTAAGCTGCTTCTGGTGAAACCACAGCAGTGAACGGAAACACTGTTTACCTTCCCGCCGGAGTGGTACCTATTTATCTACTTGCACTTTGATGTGCTTTCGAACTGCTAGGTTGGCAGCAGCAGGGACCGAGCAATGGGAGCTCATCCCGCCGCAGGGATTCGAACCGCCGACCTTCTGAGCAGCAAGTCCTAGGCTCTGTGGTTTAGACCACAGTTTCACCCTGCATGATGACATTTCTCAGGAGACAGACGGGGAAATGTGTCCCTCTCAATTCTCCTCAACCTCTCAGAAGCTTTCGATTCCATCAACCAGGGTCTCCTTCTAGGATGGCTGTCCGAGTCTGGGGTGGGTGGGACTCCTCTGTGGTGGTTCCAGTCCTACTTGGGTGTTACTTGGGAAATGCTTTTCAGCTCTGTGGAACCTTCAATGTGGGGTTTCACAGGGCTCAATCCTACCCCCCACGTTGTTTAACATCTACATGAAACTGCTGGGTGGGGTTATCTGGAGGTTTGGAGTATGTTGTCAGCAGGATGCTGAGGACACTCAGCTCTGTTTCCCCTCTACATCTGCAGGTGAGGCAATGGAAGTGCTGGACCAGTGTCTTGCCTCACAGACTGGATGAGAGCCAACAAACTGAAGCTCAATCCAGATAAGATGGAGGCGCTGTTAGTGTGGGGTTCCCTAGACCAGATGGGCAGGAGATTGCCTGCTCTGGATGGGGTTACACTTCCTCTGAAGGAGCAGGTTTGTAGCTTGGGGGTCCTCCTAGATCCTTTGCTGTCACTCGAGGCTCCGGTGGCCGCAGTGGCCCAGAGTGCCTTCCATCAGCTTCGGCTGGTGGCCCAGCTACACCCCTCTCTGGACAGAGAGAGCCTGCTGTTGTCTATGCTCTGGCAACCTCAAGGTTAGACTACTGCAGTGCATTATACGTAGGGCTTCCTCTGAAGACGGTTCAGAAACTTCAGCTGGTACAGAATTCAGCAGCCAGGTTGCTGACTGGAGCAAGATGGTTTGAGCATATTACACCGATCCTGGTCTGACTGCACTGGCTGCAAATTAGTTTCCAGGCCCAGTTCAAAGTGTTGGTTTTGACCTATAAAGCCTTAAATGACTCAGGATCGCAATACCTCAAGGGTGCTTTAGCTCAGATTCCTGCATTGCAGGGGGTTAGACTAGATGATCCTTGGGATCCCTTTCAACTCTACAATTCTATGATTCTATGGCTGCTTCTCTCCATATCAACCGACTGGGACCCTAAGATCATCCTCTCAGGCCCTTCTTCATGAGCCTCCTTCCACAAGAGGTCCAGAGAATGGGACCTTTTCTGCAGTGGCTCCCCGTTTGTGGGACACTCTCCCCAGCGAGGCTCAATTGGCATCTTCATTATAGATCTTTAGGCACTAGACAAAAACATTCCTCTTCTTCCAGGCCTTTGGCTGATTGACATCCGATGCCTTTTTAAATGTGTTGTGGGAGGGGGGATTATTGGTTCATTTTCGTTTTATTATGTATTTTGTGTTCTCATTTTCCATTTTTATGTTGTGAACCCCCCCCCCCCCCGTGATCTTCAGATGAAGCATGGCATGCAAACTTCATAAATAATAATAATCTGTGCTATTTTTTGTAGAAAAGCTGGTGCTGGAACTCTCCATGAATGCCTCCCTCTGAGCCTGGCAATGGAACCCCCCTGAGAGTTCCAGCTGGAAAAAGCCGCCGCCACCATCATCACAGCAGCCTCATTTTCCACCATGAATTTGCCCAATCCTGTGGGAAGGAGTTCCACAGATTAACTCTGTTCTGTGTCAAGATGGACTTCCTCTTATGTGTCCTTGAGGGGGACTCAAATGCACAACAGCCCTGAGAGGTGGGCACTCTCAGTGCATGAATGTGTGAGTCCAGTGACTTCCCTGCAGTGATATCACCACAGTCCAGCAAGGCAGCCAGATTGAATTTGGGAAGAGGGGGAGCCAGGGGTCGTGGGCTGAACCCCTTCCCTATCTGCCTGGAACACGGCCCAGAAATTTTGGCTGGGTAGCAACAGCTCTGAAAATCAGAATCGCAGAGTTAGAAGGGACCACCAGGGGTCATCCAGCCCAACCCCTTGCAACGCAGAGATCGCATTGCACCTGTCTGGCAGATTGAATGAGCGTCTGCCACCTTCCAAAGAAATCTGTTGCAGAGTTTCAGGCTGACAGCCTCTCAGAGGGTGCAGGGAACTTCTGCCTGCGGAGCATCTGCTCTGCAACTAAGAAGAGGACCTTCCTGTAAAAATCAGCAATATTCTAGTCCTCTTCGTCCTGCCTAAGGGATGTAGGCAGTGACCAGGGCAGGCTAAGTGGCGTCTGGCTCAGCATTGCCCCAAAAGCTGTGCAGAGTCAGGATCCGAGTGGCGGATCCTGTCCCTTCCTCTACAGGAGGCTCCCGCAAGCAAGGGCTGGTCTACAGGTCCTCTGAGGGGCCCGGCACCAACTGCGCCCTCCAGGAGCGAGCTGGAATGAAGGTCCCAGAGTTAGTTCTGCAAGCCTTTCCGCCTCTGCTCACTAACTCTTGAGGGGTCCAGCAAGATGATGATGATGATGATGATGATGATACCACCTCATCCATTTGGCTAGCTTACCCAGCCACTCTTGGCATGCACTTTCCCACTGCACAAAAGGGGTGCTGAGATTTGCAGGCACCCCAGCAGCAGCAGCAGCAGCAGCAGATTGCACTGCAACGCAAGCAGAGGCACTGCAATGTTTCGGGCCAGATCTTGGACCCTGTTCAGCAGCAATTAATTACGGAGCAGGAGTTTCGCTCTCGGGTCTCGGGCGAGGGAGAGCTTTTGCGCTCTCAGAAGCCCCAGAGCTGCGAGAGAGGGAGGCCAGCCAAGGGATCGGCCTCCTGGAAGGGGAAAGGGGGTCTTCAGGCGCCCATTAACGCTCTCCCAACCCCCAAGTGGGGACTTGTTGATAACATTCAGTTCAGTCGCCGTCCCCCTCCCCTCCCCCGGATTAAAAAATCAAGAGTGATTTAAATGCTTCTTGCAGATCCGAAGGAGGACTTCTTCGCACGTGCTGTGGAACTCACTGCCACAAGATTTCATGACAGCCACCAGCTTGAGCAGCTGTGAAAGGGGATCAGGAAAAGTAATGCAGGAGAGGCAGTGGGGGGGGGTTAGAGCTATCAAGGGCTGTCAGTCACAAACTGGTATTGGAGGGTGTGGGAGGGAGAGGGCCATGGGGGGGATCTCTAGGGGAGGGGCCTGTGGCGAAGAGGAGGCTGACCCAGCCCAGGGTGCCCTTCTTTGAACAGAACCAGCCAAGTTCACGGAGGAGAGAAAGGCTGTCTGTGGAGGCCCAGAAGCAGTCTGCCTCCAAGTCCCAGTTGGGATAGCATGTGGGAGGGGGGAGAGGCCTGCTGCCCCCCTGCCCTCCTGCTCCTATGTGCCTGTCAGGTGACCCTGAGCCAGTCAGAGCAGGGGCTGGGCTTGGTTTCCTTCCCAAATCATGAGGACCAGCATCTTACCTGATCTTTAGGAAGAGGTTCCTCAGCAGCACCTCTCTGTCAGAAAACCCACACAGCCGCTGCTGCCAGTCCGTGCTGGGACACTTGGCAATAAGGCAGCAGCTGCCTTTGTGGCCTCAGATAGCCCCTCTCCTGGCCCTGGCGGGGGCTGCTGTTTGTATCTCCAAGGGTCACCCCATGTCCTTCTCTTGCCCACTCGAAAGATGGAGGCACCCCAAGGGGAGAAGCCACACAACCAACACTGGCCGGCAGCCTCCAGGTCCAGGGCCGTTCGGGGGGGGGCGGAGAGGGGGAGAGCTGTTGAGCCAGATGCGGCCAGGTCTCTCCAAAGAGAACCTCCATGAGCAGGAGCAGCAGCATCTCACTGGGGGAAGAGGGAGCTGCTGCAGCTTCCGCCCCCTTTGCCCCCCACCCTGGGGGCAGCCGGCTGTTCCTCCTCAGTGGCAGGCAGCTGGGCTATGGGGTGCGGCGTCTTGTGTTTGAGGGTCCCCCCTTTCTGCAGTGCGCGGAGGGGACCCTTTCCTGCTGCCCCCAAATGGGAGATGTTGCGGCTGCTTCTGCTCCCCCCCAAAGAGTCCCCCGAATGAGGACATTCAATGGGGGGCAATGCAGGTGCCCGAGCCCCCTCCCCACCCTTTTCCTCCAACAGCGCCCCCCCCCCGTTGGCTTGCCTGCATCACTCGCGTCATCCCTCGCAGCCCCCCCAAAATGCATCCGGGGCGCGCAGGGGAGAATATTTTTACGCATCCCCGGGGAGGGGGTCGCTTGCATGCAGATGGACGGGCGGCTGCGGAGAGGGCGACCCCAGAGGAACCCCCGACCTCCCCCAAATAAAGCCACCCCAGGCCCCAGCCCAGGCCCCCGCTTTGCATCCCCCTTACCTGCCTGGCGGGGCTCAGCCTGGACCGGAGCAGCAGCAGCAGCAGCAGCGCGGCCGCCCAGCAGCCATCCGGAGACGCCGCGGAGGAGGAGGAGGAGGAGGCGCGTCACGTGTGAACGTCGCCGATATGGGGCGGGAGGGGAGAAGGGGAGGGCCTCGCCTCACGCCCCGCCCCGCGCAGGGCCCCCACCTCGGGGCTTCCATCTCTTCCATCTGTCATGGCTAGTTAGCTAATTGCGTTTCTCTCCCGCCGCATTGGACTCCGAAGGGGCATCCCTGCAACGACAGCCCTGCGAGGTAGGACAAGCGTGCCAACTTGAATAAAATACTGGGCAGGACCAGGTATGCCCCACCCTGCATAATCGATCACAAGACACTCCATTTGAATGTCAGTTATTTTATTGGGGGGACCAAAGGGACCTCGACCCCCAGGAATTGGCTCCTACGCCCAGGCTGAGAGGCAGCAGCTGGCTCCCAGCGCCACCCCCTCCGGTCCCCCATCTCCAGCACTAACCACTACACCACACTGCCTCTCAACCCCACTTTCGTGCAAAGTGTGGCAACTGTGGCTTAGGAGAGGCTTTCAGGGCTGCCTTCGGCTTCCCGTCTGGGCCATGCGCAAACTCTGCCCCATTGCTTGGCTCTTCTTCCCCACAACAGAGCTGCCAGGTGGGCCAGGGTGAGAGGCAGCAACCCGCACCCATGGTCGCAGCCAGGGAGTGTCGGGGCCGAGGAGATGCAGACCCATCCCACCCTTTCCCTCGAATCATAGCATTGTAGAGTTGGAAGGGACCCCCAAAGGTCATCGAGTCCAGCCCCTGCAAGGCAGGATGTTGCTGGACTAAAACTCCCATCCTTCCTAGACAGCACAGCCAGCAGTCAGGGATGGTGGGAGTTGTAGTTCAAGGGCGCCAGGGTTGAGAGAGGCGGCACCACCCTGCTCTTACTAAAACCCCACTTTTCTGCCAGAATTTGGACTCAGTGGGGCTAAAAAAACAACAACTAAAGCAAACACTGATAAAATGCAGAAAGCCAAAAACTTAGAACAGGTAAGAGTGAAGAAGGGATTGAGCAGCCACGGTAGAAAACCGTCTCCACCTCCCAGAAGGACAAGGAGGGATCCTGCCTGGTTTCCCTGGGCAAGGAGTTCCAAGGGTGCCTGGGAGCTAGGGAGTTGCTGCTGCCAGCCAGTGTGGGCACTTCTGGTGGCCATCTGTCATGGATGCTTTAGCTGAGATTCCTGCATTCAACAGGGTTGGACTAGATGACCCTGGGGGATCCCTTTCAAATTCTACAATTCTATGGTGCTTCTGCCAGACTCTCAGCCCAACCAAACCCCCGAATTCTGGGCTTAAAAGATGCCACTGTGATGTACAAGGCCAGGCCTTCTGCCCTACTCCCCTTCCCCCCTTGCAGTAACCATTGGGCGGCAATGCCTTCCCAAACTGGAGAGGCGGAAGCCAGACTCTCGGGATGCACGGTACCTCTTTGCAGAATTCCTCCCAGAGCGCCGGGTGACTCATGCAGCCAATTAATTAATATCTGGGATTGTTATTAATATAGCAGCCAGCTGCGGGGAGCAACGGGGAGCCCCTCCCCGCAAGAGGCAGAGGACAAGGCGGCCCACTGGTCTGAGCAAAGCCCCCTGCGGGACACCTGTGTTGCTCAGCAGCTTCGCATTGGCGGGGTGTGTGTGTCAACAGCTCTGGAAGCCAAGCAGGGAGTGGGCAAAGAGCCAGACTTGTGTGTGCGCAAGGAACACCTGCAACCTTCCAGCTGTCGGGCTGTGCTGCCTCCATTGCCCCTGACTGTGCCGTCTGCTGGGGATGGAGGCAGATGGGGGTGGGCCCTGCAATCTCTGGGTGCCCCTGCTTCCTGCTGCCTCGCAGGGTTGTTGTTCACAGCTCCACCAAAAAGGTTATCGGGATGAAGGTTTACTTCAGAGAAAGTATCCCTGGTGGGAACCGGCTCCAGCAGATGAACGAAGATTTGACAGAGGCTCTTCCTATGCTCTTATGGAGCTTCAGGCCCAAAGGCAGTCCATCTGGATTCCCGAGTTCTTAGGGGAGCCGGATGAGACTCCAGAGCCCCCCTCAAGAAAAAAGGAAGGGGTGCAGCTCTGTCCGACAGTCACTTCCACAGGGGGCGGCTCAGAATTCACAACCCCCCACAAAAACTGCAGGACCCCATAAATTTAGGATAAATTTCGCTTTCTATTGTGCTCAGGATGGTGTTGTGGTGCCTCTAAACCACCCCCACTTTTTATGCATTTTGTGGTATAAATTTAACACTTTTTGAAATCTCTTTGCACATGCAAAGGTGTTGGGGAGCTCAGTAACTTCCAGGTGAAACCCGGTAGCTTTTCAACCAGGCCGCAAATGCTCCTGTTTATTTTTCTGGCCCCACTTTTTTGCTGCAGAACTGGACCATTTAAGCCCATACAATAATGATTGGGGGGGAGCATTGCAGAAAAACGAATAAAGCAGGTTGGAGTCTGGACAGTCCAGTGTAAATCCACCGCTGGTGCACTTATTCCTGCCCCAACATCATCTTGCAGGAAATCGCGCTGCAAAGAAGAACCCAAACATCTCCAGAGGAATTTTGGTTTGGGAGTTTTATACTTGCAAAAATTGGCCTGGAACAGAGTACAGCTCCCCTCCCCCCAATAAACAGAGCCAGAGAAAAGTGGCGAAATTTGAAAGGTGTTTTATTTAAAGAGCGGCTGAATAAAAGGCCGGTGACTGTTATTATCATTTTTTAGCACAGTGGAGATTACGCTGAATTATTAAAATAAAATAAAAACCCTGTCCCCAGAGCAGAATGCAAAAATATCACATGTGCACAATTTCCTCTGTGCTAAATTCAAAGTTCTGATGGGGGGAGAGGATGTGGATTTAAATGGAAAAGCAGCGTCAACGTGTTCTGCTCACAAGCAGGTAACTTTTCCCAGCATTGAAGCCCCAGAGTCCAAGGCTCCCTCTCTCACCACACCCAAGGAACGCCAGGGAGGCACTTGGATCCCCTGCAAAACGTGGGCCTGGGCAGCATATCCTCTGCAGAAAGTGCACAGCCAAGCTAAGTCAACACAGGATACCTGCAGACTTGGTTGGGGGGCGATGGAACCCTAATCCCAGACCCCTAAGAAAAAGAGAGAGATCCGCCAGAGATATGGTCGCTCTTTCATTTGGGGCCAAAGGACAGTGCAAGCTTCCGGGTCACACCAGCCTCTTTCGTCAGGTGGCAAAAAGCCCCAGCGCAATGTTGTTTTGACAAGACAGCTCTGCCGGATCCTTTTGGGTCAGCAAGAAGGGGGCTGGCAGCTGAGGACAGCTCCCTTTCCCACTGCAGAAACTGAAGGGTGGGCACAGGAGAAGAGTGAGGCCTCGGCACATGCCAGCTGCTACTTCTGAGCCTCGTGTTCGAGTCTCTCTCCCAGCATGAATCAAAGCCAAAACTCTGGTGCCAGAGCTGGGGGTGGGAAGCAGTGGCAGGAAGACTGAGACCCCCCCCTTGCCCCCCTCGCCTCCTGCATGTCCTTCCACCCTGAAAGTGGTGCAGGAAAGAGTCTGCATGCCACCTCCTCTTTGTGCTCCAGGGATCCGTTAGCCCATCCAAGCCTCTGGACTCAGCAGCCGAGAGGCCTCTCTCTCTCTCTCTCTCTCTCTCTCTTTCTCTCTCTCTCTCTCTCTCTCTCTCTCTCTCTCTCTCTCTCTGGCTTCAGACCCCAGATGAACAAATAAATGAAAGGAACAGCAATGGCAACTTTCCTCCTTGCAGCCCACAAGTGTCCCAGCAAACCGGCTTTCCACCTTTTTGGGGTACAGCCCTGCTCCACCACCCCTTCCCCTTCAAGGAAAGCGTTAGAAATACAAGGAGGCAGAGAATTTGGGGGCCAGGAGGAGATTTCTGTCTGTGCTGCAAATCCCCGGCTGCTGGAGAGATTAGGAAAGTGCATGGCACCCCGTTAGCAGCAGGTCCCCTCGACTGGGAAGAAGGAAGGAGAGGCTCAGGTGTCACCTGCGCACTCAGGCGCAAAGAGGGAGAGGAGAAGAAGCCAGAAGGAGAAAGCAGGAGGCGGCTCAAAGTGGGGTTGGGGACGAGGGGGGTTGGCTTTGGCCAGGTGGGAATCAAAGGAAAATGAAAAAGGAGAGACAGAGACTGTGGATTTGGGCTCCCTGGCAAATCTGCTCACAGCAAGAGAGAAGGAAAAAATGAGCCTTTTGGAGAGAGGGGAAAGTGAACCTTTTGCAGGGAGAGAGACTGTGAATTTTGGCTTCCTGGCAGCCAGTGAGCTTTGGCTGGGCCAGACCACCAGCCAACAGTTGGCAAAAGCCCACAAGGGGATCTCCTCCCTGCGCCCCCTAAGAAACCCAACGAACGTCCCAGCAGGATTTTGCGTCCACAAGAGCAAACTCTGTGGGGAAACTGCACAGGCCTGGAGGGAAACACTGCGCAGCCAGGTCTCCCCTCTTGCCGCCACAATCCTCACCTCCAGGAAAAGAAGGGGGGAGCCAGAGGGGGAAAAGACGCCCTTTCTGTGTCCTTGACCCTGAAGAGGCACCACAGATTAGCCGGCTGCCAAGAGCTTTGCCAGGAGGGCAGAAAAAGGAGCGGGAACTAATCAGGCCCAGGTCCTGTTGTGGCTCTCCTTGCTCCTGACTGGTTCATGCCTTGCAGGAGAGGGGTTGCCCAGGATCTGGGGAGGAGAAAGGCATGAGTGCCAAGCTGCCTCAGGGACTCGGGTCTCCCTGAGAGCGAGGGGAGCTGAGCAAGGCAGTGCCATGGCCCATCTTGGTCCCCCTGGTCCGGAGTGTGTGTGTCTAAGGGGGCAGCGGGAAGCGTCTCGTTCCTACAACCGGCCTCGAGGCCACGGAGCCTACGCCACATCACGCAGTGCAATCTGTGCGCGGCCCTCTGGACTCTTTGGCGTGGCTTGGGGCGTGGCTGAGGGTGGCAGCGGTGGGGAAGAGCTTCCCCGCCTGGAGGCCACGGCGTCACCACTTGAAGAAGACAAGGGTGGCCATGACGGCGTAGCCCAGGACAAGGAAGAGCACCTTGAGGAGGCGGCTGCTCTTGTCCTCCAGCTCCTTGGCCAGGATCTCAAAGAAGGTGACAAAGACGAAGGTGCCACTGGCAATGCCCTGCAGGAGCACCGAGGCTACGCTGGAGGGCACGCTGTGGTGGCTCTCGATGCCCATCCCGATGACGATGCCCAGCGGGATCATGAGGCTGACGGGGCCCGCCAGCTTGGCCGCCTCGCGCAGGGTGAGGCCCGTCTTGGTCATGGTGATGCCCAGCGCCACAGCCACCAGTGTTTCGTGGATGGCCACGCCCAGGAAGAGATTCATGACCTTGTGCCCCTCCTCCTGCAGGCCCAGTGCCAGCCCCTCGAAGATGGAGTGGGCTGAGAGGGCAAAGACCAGGCTGAAGAGGCGCAGCGGAGTCGAGCGCGAGAGTTCGTGGACGTTGAGGCCGCACTGGCTGGAACTGTGGCTGGTCGAGCTGCCCTGGTGGTAGTGGTGGCGCTTGGAGGGCGGCTCCAGGAAGGGGCTCTCGAACTCAGAGTCGCTGCCTGCGTCCGAGCCGGCATTGAAGGTCTCCAGGTCAATGAAGGACGGCTGCTCCTTGCGCACCGTCAGCACCAGCTGCTCCACAAAGACCGTCATGAAGAAGCCCAGAAGCATGATGGTCTCAGCCAGAGGGTAGTCGGTCACCACGTTGCCCACCTTGAGCACCTCCGCCAGCTGCGGAGGGGAGAGAAGAGGCTGTGAAGCAGCGGAACTCCCTGCCACAAGGGGGAGGCAGCATAGAATTGTAGAGTTGGAAGGGTCATCCAGCCCAACCCCCTGCAAGGCAAGGATCTTTTGCCCAACATGGGACTCAAACCCACAACCCTGAGATTAAGAGTCTCATGGTCTGCAGACTCAGCCAATTCTCTGCTGTCTCCCCAAATATCCCCTCTGCCCAGCTCAGTGGAGATCAGCTTGGCTGGATCAGGCCAATGGCACCTGAGACCTGGGGGTCACCCACGAGGGTCTGGGGAGCCTGCAAAGGAAAGCCCCTCCCTCTCCTTTGCCCACCCCAGCCAAGCATTATGGAAAGGTCATGTGTCTCTTGGCTGCAGGGAAACTCGCATCCTGGTCTCCCAGGAGGAGTTTCTCAGACCCGCTAACAAGGTGGGAACCGTTATAGGAACAAACCCCCAGGATCACCCCTCGGCATCCTCAGCGGGGACTGGCGCCTTCCTTCCCAGCCAGGAGAGGGGAGGAGGGTCTCAGGGCCGCCTTGGTGGCAGCAGCACAAATGGCCACCAAATGCGATGGCTTTAAAAGAAGATTGGCCAAGCCCTGCCCACTCCATGGCCCCCAGAAGGCTGCGTAGAAGGGGAGGCGGCCCTTGGGAACCCCCCTCACACACACGTTCGCAGCAGTGGCTGCTGGGTTGTGTTGATCCTGCCCTCCACAAACGGACAGGGAGGGAAGACCAGATTGAGTAAAGTTATTTATTCAAAGCTAGAGTGCCTCTGAATAGGGGGGCTCCATTCCATGGCCATACAGATCCGGGATGGGGAAACCTCAGGCCCCGGGAGGCTCAACGTGGCCCTCAAGGCCCTCTCCACATGGCATCGCCCCCCCCCGATTTGCACCCCACCTTTTCTCGCACAGCCGGCAGCAGGGCGTTGAAGCAGGTGCCCAGGAAGACGCCGCCTCCGAAGGAGTTGCAGACGGAGATGATGCGCTGGGAGCGCTCTGCCTTCTCGCCGTCGGTGGCAATGAAGCGGACAGGCAGCAAGGACCCCCCCAGCATCAGCACAAAGACCCCCACCAGGGACAGCACCTTGGTCACCAGGAGATTCATGGTGGCGTGGTGCCCAGGGGCATCTGTTAGGAGGGTGCCAGGGGCTCCGGGCGGCAGGCGTAGGGGGCGGCCGCCAAACCCATGGAGCTCTGCAAGGGGGGATGAGAGAAAAACAGACGGGATTGAAACAACTTGGCAGTGAGACTGTGGAACTGACTGCCACAGGAGGAAGGCCACCTTCCTGGATGGCTTTAAAAGAAAACGGGACACATTCCTTTGTTAATGCTGGAGGGTTTCAAATTTTACTATTCTGTTGCTGGGGCAACACAGTCAGATGGGTGGCATGAAATAATCATCATCATCATCATTTGTTGCTGGGGCAACACAGTCAGATGGGTGGCATGAAATAATAATAATAATAATAATCATCATCATCATCATCATATAAAACGGAGGAGAGGGCTCTGGAGGGCTCCTAGCCAGGATGTTGATGACCTGCACCACAGTCAGAGGCACCAATGCTTCTGAATCAGAGTTGCTGGAAACTGCAGGAGGGGAGAGTTGCTCTTGTGTTCGAATCCTGCTTGTGTGTTTCCCTTTTTGGAGAGGGATAATTCTGCGGTTTAATTTTCACTGTGGTTTATACCTTGTTAGCAGCTCTGAGAAACTCCTTTTTCTGGAGAGAAGGAACCAGGATGCAGGTTTTCCTGCAGCAACAAAACAGATCCTTTCTATAAATAGACAAATGATTACTCATGACTATTACAGCGGTACCTCAGTTTTTGAACGTATGTTGTTCCGGAAGACCATTCCGAGTTCTGAAATGTTCGAAAACCGAAAACTCAATAGCCAATAGCTAGGCCTCAGGATCTTGCACTCAGTGGAAGCCACTTGGCATGTTCAACTTCCAAGGTGTGTTCGAAAACCGAAGCATTTACAGTTATACCTTGGGTTGCGAATGTGATCCATGTGGGAGGCACGTTCGCAACCCGCACACGCACACGCGTGACGCGATTCGGCGCTTCTGCACATGCGTGTGACGTCATTTTGTGCTTCTGCGCACCCGCAAGCGCCGAACCTGGAAGTAACCCGTTCCGGTACTTCCAGGTTCGGTGCAGTCCGCAACCAAAAATGCAGAGCCTGCCGTGTTCGTAACCTGAGGTATGACTGTACTTCCGGGTTTACGGCATTCAAAAACCGAAATGTTCATCAACGGAGATGTTTGAAAACCGAGATACCACTGGATATTATTATTATTATTATTATTATTATTATTATTATTAAAATTTGTACACCTCCCTAGATCCAGTTCACAACATCACATTTCAGTATAAGAAACACAAAAGACAATAAAAATAAGAAGAAAAACAACCTAATAACCCCCATACTACTACTAAACTCTTGTTTATGTAAAATACTTTAAAGCAGACTTTTGGGGCTGCTGCCCTCAAGACACAGGAAAAACACACCGGCAGTGAAATATTTGCCAAGGTTCAATTCAGCTCAATGCGCCAGTTGCAACAGTAAGAACTCAATCAGTTAGTATGGCAGCACCTAGACTTTAGAACTCCCTGCCTCTTGATATCAGGCAGGCATCTTCCCATTTAGTCCAACCTGTTCGGATGCTTGGAAAGGGGGGGGATTTGAATCTGTTTTAGTACTTGAAACAAAGTTTTGTTTCATTTAAAGCTTGCGTATTTTTCTTGATTTTACGGCGTTATTATTTTCTAAACTGCTTTGAGGTTTGTTTGTTTTTAACTATCAAGATGTGTATAAATTTGACTAAATAAATAAGCAATTTCATAAAAAGAATGTATCAGTAATAACTAGTTATTATGATGACTGTTTCATTAATAGGCTTCCTGTCAGTATTCTTATTATTATGTTTTTATCCTTGATGTTCTGTAATGTGTTTTTAATGTGGAACACCACCTGGGATCTTCTGATAAAGGGCAGTATATAAACTGAAATTATTATTATTATTATTAATATTACATCTTCAAGGCCAACCCCACAAAGAATAGATTGCGATACTCTATCCAGGGTGTATGGGATGCGGGTGGCACTGTGGGTAAAAGCCTCAGCGCCTAGGGCTTGCCGATCGAAAGGTCAGCAGTTCGAATCCCTGCGGCGGGGTGCACTCCCGTTGCTCGGTCCCAGCGCCTGCCAACCTAGCAGTTCGAAAGCACTCCCGGGTGCAAGTAGATAAATAGGGACCGCTTACTAGCGGGAAGGTAAACGGTGTTTCCGTGTGCAGCTCTGGCTCGCCAGAGCAACGATGTCACGCTGGCCACGTGACCTGGAAGTGTCTCCGGACAGCGCTGGCCCCCGGCCTCTTGAGTGAGATGGGTGCAAAACCCTAGAGTCTGTCAAGACTGGCCCGTACCAGGGGTACCTTTACCTTTTTATCCAGGGTGTAATGCAAGAGAGCACCAATAATACTAATATTTAGAAAAGCAGAGAATCACTTGGCGCTCTAAGAAGACTTAAGAGCAGAGTCACATACTTTAAAGCACATTCACATGGCTTCCCCCTTGCAGAAGTATCCTGGGAATTGTAGTTAGTTTGTTAAGGGTGCTAGGAAATGCAGCTCTGCGAAGAGAAACTACAGCTCCCAAGAATCTTTGGCAAGGGGGATTTCATGCTTTGAAGGCACGGAGCGGATCTATGCTCACAAATGCATTTCATTGTTATTCCTGGGTTTCTCCTTCCTTGGAGGTCTTGAATAATAATAATAATATTATTATTATTTATACCCTGCCCACCCCAGCCAGAGCCGGGCTCAGGGCAGCTAACACTAGTAAAATTACAGTAAAAACATAAAAGGGAAAAAAAACTAATTTAAAATACAGGTTAAAATGCAATTTAAAATGTAGCCTCATTTTAAAAGTAACTCATAGATCAAAACCATAAGGGGAGGGAAAAATAAGGGTCAGACTGAGTCCAAACCAAAGGCCAGGCGGAACAGCTCTGTCTTGCAGGCCCTGCAGGGCCCTGGTCTCATGAGGCAGTGCGTTCCACCAGATCGGGGCCAGTACTGAAAAGGCCCTGGCCCTAGTTGAGACCAATCTAAATTTAAACAGTTTGGGCAGCCCCGTCAGGGATCCTTGATCTGTGACCCCTGCCTTGCAGGCAGCTGGACTTGGATGCCCTTTGGCTGACCCTCCCAACCCTACAATTCTATGATTCATTGGAGGTTTTTAAACAGAATTTGGATGGACTTCTGTTGGGAATACTTTAGCCATGTGATTCCTGCATTGCATGACCCTTGGGGGAGCCTGTTGCAGGAATTTATGTATAGGTTGGGGGGGGTTGCCCCTCCAGCAGATATCACACACATGCAGCCCACTACCAAAATCAGCACAATCACTTTTGTGACTTTTGTGATTTGTCCCCACAAAACACTTTATCACAATTTCTTCCTATCTATTCAAAGGGCCTTTGCTGTGTGATACCAAATGTAACAATTCACTGATCAATGTATCTCTGTACTGGCTCACTGGGAAAACTTTAGAAATTCATACAGACATGTGAGCTCAGCTCCTCAGCAGCCCCTCTGCCTGAGTGATAATTCCTGGCATCCTGATACCTGAGTGCCAGACAGGTGGCCATTCCAGAAATAAGAAACCCAGATGAAGACAAAAGGGTGTGATTAACTTGGCAGAGAAACAGAGAAATGTAAATATCTCTTTTGTTTCACTTGATGGGTGTTTGGTGGAGGGCAAGGAAAACCATGGGGCAGGGTCCAGGATACTCAGATTACTGCCCCCAGACCTCCCCTTTCATGATGTAACCATGATGTAGTTGGGGGGGGTGTAACATGGGGATTAGCAGCTAATAAAAGTTTGGGTGCTCTTTTGTTTGGGGCTTCCATCTTGTTCCACCTGGTGGCAGGTGGGAGTCCTGTTGCGAGGGTCTTCAATAAAGACCAAGCCTTCTGGCTCCTGTTTTGCTCTGCTATTCCTGGCTGGTGTCCTTGTTTTTTTGTCCAAGGGAGCCCTCAGATTTCTCCGTTAACAGTCCAAATCTAGGATCCTACAATTCACTGGCAGTTTTTAAGCAGAGTTGGGATGGCCACATGTTGGGGATCCCTGTGTTGCAGGGGTCAGACTGGGTGCCATTATTATTATTATTATTATTATTATTATTAAGTTACGCCCTGGATAGAGTACCACAACCTGCTCTTCATGTCCTTGAGACAGTTCAAAGATGATGATGATGAAGTTCTGACCCCTCCAAACCACACAAGCTGGCAAGCTCTCTCCCTCTCCTTTGTTGGAGGCTGTTCAGCAGAGGTCCGTCTGCTGGCAATCCTGCAGCCCTGCGACTGCTTTGTGCCCAAGTGGGGGCTGGACTGGATGGCCCCTGGCGGCCCCTTCGATTGCACAACCCTATGCAATAGCCTGCTATTATGACGATTATCACTGCTATTCTTCTTCCTCCTCCTCCTCCTCTCATGCCCCACACCCCGACGGCGCATCCCTGGCCGCAGTTGGGCAAAGCCATTTGCAGACCCAAGCGGCTAGTCCTCATGGAGGCGGCGACGGGGAGGAGCCCCGCCCCCTGGCGCCCAGGCCCCGCCCCCTCCGGCAGTCCTGGGCGCCGGGCCCCCGGGGGGTGCGGGAGCCCCCTCTCCTCTTCCTCCCCGCCCCCTCCTCACCTGCGCGGCCGCTTCCCGTCCTTCCTCCTTCCGCCCCTTTCCCACCTCGCCCGCCTGCCTTGGCAACCGCGGCGAAGCGACGCCTATTGGCTGCCACTGACGTCATGGCGGCGCTCGTTGGCTGAACAACCCGCCCGTCCGCTGTGGACCCCGCCCCTTAGGCGGGCCTTTCCCTCCCTCTCGCCCCGCCCTCCCACAGTCGCCTTTCTGCTGTGCAGCAAGTAAGGGTGTCCTCCAACCTTCAGGGAAGTGGCTGTGCCTGCCGAAGGGCGGCCGGCGCGAATCAGCGGCCGCGACATGCCTGGTTCCGGCGACTTTTGCGTGTGCTGGGAGAAACCCGCCCGCCCGTTGGCTGAGCAGCCCTGTTCGGTAACGCTGATTGGCTGAAGCGGCGGCCGATTGGCCTCGGGTTCAGGAAGCTGGTCTACCCATTAACGGAATACAGCGAAGAAGGGTTTTACGGTCAACTCACGAGAAATATATGGGAAAAAGGGTTCCATACGGAGGGCTGTCCAATTAGCGCTTCCTTCTTTACGGAAGGCTTTTAGGGGATGCCCCTCTCAAAGGGGAAGGCGGGAGGGGGGCGTGTGGTGCTTGTGTAATACTTTACAATGAAGGGGGGGGGCTTCCTGCTACACTAAGATTCCTAGGAATATCTATTTGTTTGTTTGAATATATATGTTTTATATTCATTTATAGTCTGTTCTGACCAGGAGCCATGAGATAAATAAAACCTCCAGGTCAATAGGCAGTCTACCTCGGAATAATTTGAACAGATAAGAAATCAAGATGAGTCAGATACTTGGCAAATATTTAAAGAAATACAACAATCAGAGAAGCTTCCAAGTGGGGTTAGATATAGGAGCAGCAGTTAAAAATAAGCAGAAGAGGGATGGTAATTAAGGAGATGCAGCTAAATAAGGACTAAGTTAGAACCCACCCACCCCTGAGGGATGTGTGTGGAAGCCAAAGAGTGTAAGATAAACAATGACAATTGTATAACGGATGTATTAAGATGTGTAAAATGCATTTAAAATCACACACACACACAGAAGTGGACAGGTTGGTGCTCCATGGCAGTGGGGGGAGAGACTCCACCAGGCAAGGCCTTCTTCCACCTGCCTTGCCCCACCCCCCAGTCTCTGCTTCTCATTTTGTATTGTATTATGTTGTGCACTGTGGTTTGCTGCTGTTTATTGATTGGAGTTTAGAAATTACTTATTGTAACTGTTGAGTGGATTTCTGTTTAATTCTGAAATGCTGATATTTAATAATATTCTATATTGTTTTAATGAATGTTGAATGTTATTTTATTTGCATATTGTATATTGCATTATGCATATTGCCTTATTTATATGTTAGCCACTCTGAGCCTGGCTTTGGCTGGGGAGAGCGGGATACAAATAAAATATATTATTAAAAATATATTATTGGCATCCAGAAGGTTCCAGGTTCAATCCCAGGCAGCGTCTCCTGGCAGGGCTGCAAATCCCCTTTGCCTGATGCCCTGGAGAGCCACTGCTGCTGCCAGCCAGTGCTGACGACACCAAGCTGGATGGCTCAAGGGCCTCACTCTGTCCCAAAGAGCACCCTGTGTTAGGGGGGCAGGGATGCAGCTCAGCAGGATCCGCACAAAGCTTATAGCTTTTCTACAACCTCCTATTCCTGGAGCCAGGTTAGAGAAAAGTTTGCCTAAAGCAAAGGAATGAACGGTCATTTCCAAATATTTTGGAAAAAGGTCACCCCAAAAGCAATAAAGCGATTTTTGCCTAGGGAACTGCATAATGTATTATGTCATATGCATAGCATGCATACAGGAAAAAACAGAGATTGCAGATTTTCTAATACTAGTACAACATTTTGTACGTTGCACAACCCACTTTACTGCTTACAATCAAGCGAAGTTGCAGCTGGTCTTTGTTTCTGCTGCAGGAAGCAAAATGTTCCCACACCACTTTGTTTGTGCCTTATGCGCACCAATCCCTTCTTGGGATCTGGAGGACGGATGGCTCCTGAGAGCCAGTGTGGTGTAGTGGTTAAGAGTGGTGGACTCCTAATCTGGGGAACCGGGTTCGCGTCTCCGCTCCTCCACCTGCAGCTGCTGGGTGACCTTGGGCCAGTCACACTTCTCTGAAGTCTCAGCCTCACTCACCTCACAGGGTGTTTGTTGTGGGGGAGGAAGGGAAAGAGAATGTTAGCTGCTTTGAGACTCCTTTGGGAAGTGATAAAGCGGGATATCAAATCCAAACTCTTCTTCTTCCTGCTTCCAGGGATTCTCCCAAATCCGCAAGGCTTTTTTGCAAGGTTTCAACATTTCTGACAAGTTCTTGAAATGATTTTCATGGAGTAGTAATGTTACATAGTACAGTGATTCCAACTGTTCCTTTTGGGGTCCCTTTTTCAGTGCCTTTCAGAGAAAAGTTCTGATACAGGTTTGGTTTTTTTACAGGAGTAAAAAAAGTTATAACCCTAATACACATACCCTGCTTGCAAAAAGGGTTGTGTCCTGGCAGCTTCCCCAAATGGGGCTGGGAAGAGGCAAGGCTCTCCTCTGATCCCTGCTTAATCCTAACCCCAAGACATCACCACCAAACAAAACCCCCATGAGGACTGGCACCTTTCTTTTCATTTAACGCAGGAATAGAGCCCAGGGCCCATCTGCAGCTTCCCCATGAAGGGAAGAGAGTGCCCAGGGGGCCACTGCCAGTCAGAGCAGGCAGCATCAGACAAGTTGGGGAGAAAGAAGCATTGATTGGGAGGTGGCCTGGGTTTGGACTAGATGACCCCGGGGTCCCTTCCAGCTCTACAGAATGGTCAGTTAAGAGCTCCCAGTTTAGGGGCAGTCTATCTTGAAGCACCGGTTCCTGGGAAGCAGCAGCTCCTTCCTGCCCTCTCTCCAAACTGGGCTGTTCCCAGTTGAAACCAGGATGCGGAGCGAGGTGGAGCCGCCTCTGGCTCTGAGCCAGGTGTTCGCTGGATTTTTAAAAAGGGCCGTGTCAGAAGGGATTCCAAGTACCACCTAGTCCAACTTTTCTGTGGCTAAGAAAAGGACGATCCTTCCTCCCAGAAGGAAACGTGGCTTGCTCCTTTTCATGGATGCTGACTCGCCTCCTGCAACTTGCAGAGGGCTGGGCTGGAGGACCTCTGGGGTTCCCTCCCAACTCTGCAGCTGTCAGTTGCTGCTCATTCTTTTCCTTGTGACTTTTCTCTGCAACCTCCCCCCACACTGTCCCCTGCACCAAGTTGTGCTTTTAATATTTCATTGGGAGCTGCCCAGTGCAGCTGGGGCAACTCACTGTCTGGACACAGGAAGGCCAACTTGGAATTAATTGTTCACGTGTTCAGCAGATTACTTTTAATTATGCTCATGTGCGTTTACCAGATGGCTGGTTTTTCATGTGTAATCAAAGAAGTTATAACTACATTCCCGCAAATTTATCTGATGCTCAATGCTGCCTCAACAGACTGACATGAGTCCAGCCTAGTTGCTCAGTTTTAGAATAGAATAGGCAAAGGTTATTACGCTCACTTCAGGAATGTCTGCTAGAGATCTTTCTGTGATATAAGAACACATACATGAACTACGCTCACTTCAGGAATGTCTGCTAGAGATCTTTATGTGATACAGAAACACATGCAGGCAGATTATGAGGACACAATGCCTCTCCTCTCTTACGTATTCCTGTACATAAATAAATAAATAAGGGTGAGACGTAGGGATCAGATGGGATTACCATGAGGAATTATAAAATATACATCAAGCCATCGTGTCCACGATGAAAGCATTGTGTTGACTGGGTTTGATATATTGACGATAATTTCTGATTAAATCCCATAAGATTCTACATTCATGCCCTTTTGACTCTACTGCCCATTTTTCTCTCCTCACATGTATCCTGGGCCATAAAGACAGTGGGCAAGTTTCTTTGATGCAGGATGTTAATCTTAGGGCCTGGAAATAGTTTCACAGGAAGGTGATAAAGATGCCTACCTCCTTGCCATCCTTCCATCCTCTCTTCTTTACTCCTCTTTGTGATCTCCGGAGTTTCTCTAGTCCTCTTTTATTTACTCTCAGATTATGTATGCATGCTCAGAGTAGCAGTCTTTGTAGTTAAAAGAATTTCTTTTGATCTAACTTTTCCCCCAGGTGGGTTTGTTTAAATGCTCAGAGGAAATCTGATTGGTTCTTACGAACACTCTGTAAAAGTTTTGTGAATAAAACGGCCTGGGCTGCGGGGATCTGACGGACAAGCACAGAGAGACACGATTATACGCACCCTTCCCAGAGTCTTGCTGGTTCAAGCCTCTGTGTGTATTCTAATTAATCAGGGTTCAATCCTTCCTTTGCGAACGCAACAAGAACAGTTTCAGGTTAAGTACGGACCTCCGGAATGAATTAAGTACTTAACCCGAGGTACCACTGTAATTAATTATCATAATTATTAATAATAATAATTCCCTGTTTTAGGTTAGACGGGGGCCAATTGAGAGGGGGACAACAGCAAGCAACAGTTTCCAAAGGATTTTATTTTCTACGTTAAAAAAAGGAAAACGGAAACAGTGCCAATTTCTTTAATAATAATAGTAATTTTAAAAAAAAACATTTTGAAGGAATCCAAAGAAAAGCTCTTAGGGGGTGGCGGGGGGGGGGAGGTCTCTGAACACCTTTCCCCCTTTTAACCCCCCAGGGATCATTTATTCCCAACAAGGCATCTCAAAAATTGTCAATGCCCCCTTTTTTGAGCACCCCCTTCTCCAGATGTGGGGTACCAAGGAGGTGGGATAGAACGGCAAGTTTCTGAGTGCCCATTTGCTCCCACCCATAATCCTGAAGAGGGTCTGCGGAAGGCGGGTTGCAGGCTGGGCAAACCAGGAGCAGAAAAGTGG